CTGTTAATCTCAAGAATAAAGCTCTTTTAGATATAAATATATCAGCTGTCTAAGTAAAGCAAAATTTTATCTATTTCATCCATTTTATTATTCAGAATGTTTATTATGTGTAGCCTATGAATTTTTATGGACCTATAGGAGGCGCTGTCTCTCAATAAAACATTTTATCTTTTAACAAAATATAAATTTTTACTCTAGATAGGACATTATCACTGACAAACATTTTATATTTTCCAACAAACAACAAATATATCCAACTGGGACATTTTTATTGTATTTCTTACTTTCTAAAGTTGATCAAGAGAAACAAAGTGTAATAAAATGACTTTTCAGGTACATTNAACTAATATTATTAATAAAGGTTTAAAATAACTGGAGTTGGGAACAGAAACGCTGGATGAGGATGATGGTAAACAAGTAAAACATAAATATCCAAAGATGTTTAAGAACATAAATGTTTCATGTAATCCTGTTGCAACAAACTGATTAATTTGACTTAGTGGACAGAACACAAACAAAGCCAAAAATGTAGCATGAACCAGGGCTCGCAGATGCTACAAAAACAAACATGAGAAGAAAAGTTTGTTGGTTTTTCTCCTTTTATTCTACATTATTCTGTCCATACAGACATAAAAAAACCATATAGAAAATATAACTTGCACACAGTTTAGCTAAATGTGTTCTCCCCACTCTCACATGAATGCAAAAGGCCTGTATGCTGCTCAGTGTATAAGTAGATTGATAAAATAAGGTATTGCAAAGTTTCATTTTCTTTTATATCAGAAATACTAATTAGTTTGATTAGAAAACTCTTCAGGTTTATGATTTAAATAAAATGTTTAAATAAAATTAGGCTAATGTTCTTGGAAAGTGTTCTGCAACTACAAGACAGTGTTTGATAGCTTTACTGTTTTTCTTTTGTCTGATTTCTTGCAGCTTTCGCCTGTTTGATGAGCAGAAGGATGTTTTGGTCCTGCTGTTTTTAGAAAACATTCCTGCTCATCATCTGTCTCCATATTACCGCATGAGGAAGCTGGTGAAGAAGCGCACCTACCTGAGCTGGCCTCAGGCTGCACAACATCCGGGCGTTTTCTGGCAGAACGTCCAGAGAGCTCTGCAGGCAGGGGGCGCTCTCGCTGAAAACACGGACCTGCTGCTGGGACCGGCAGGACGATGAGAGACGTCACAGATCTCTAAGAAATAAAAGATAAATCAGGAATATATGCAAATCCTCATCTGTGAAACCATCGCACTTATTTCTTTTTATAATAATTTCAATGCTTAAAAAAACTGAACATTTCTCAATGAACCTTTACTTCTTGTAAAATACGATTAAAAATCACATCACTAAAGATGCCAAGTGAGTTAAAGTCATTCATGAACTCCTCTGGATGAAACAGAAGTGCAAACAGAAATATCAGAAGAAAACTGATGTGTGTTTCTATTATTTATTTTATTTTTTAGTGATGTGAATATTCACTGTAAAACATTTGAGCTGCACTTAGTTGTGTCTACTATCTTCTACTCTAAAAGTCACATAAATGTCTCCAGTTTAGATTTTGAACCCAAATGTGAGTTTGTGAAAAATAAGTTAACTTTTTTATTAATTTTGTCAAAACTCTAAGAGTTGAATAAACAAGAGTTAGCACTTTAAAAACTGAGAGGAAAAAGACAGGCGTAAGAACTATTTCCCAGAATGCTTAGCGGCATGTTTGTGTATCCTGAGATGGAAGTGTGTTAGACTGAACTGAGTCTTGTTTTATTAAGACAAATGTTCATTTTAATGTCCTGATCACACTAAATGTTTTGAGCAGAATTCTTTGGGATGTTTAAAAAAATTCAACATCAGATCTGAAATCTTGTTCATGCTACGTAAAACAAGAATTTAAATCATTCTAAAGTAAAATAAGTATTTATTTTAACTTGATATTGTGAGTAAAATAATAGAGAAATCTGGCTCTTTAATTAGATGAGGGCAGGTTTTTTCTTGCATATTGTGAAATAATTATTTGGTTTACGTTGCAGCATTAAGTTAAAACTCACAATTCAAGATTAATGAATTTAAAAAACAATGTTTAGAAAACTTGTTTCTTGTTAAATCGACTTCATGATCTTTAATTTCAGAGTTAAAAGCAAAACAATTTGAATTGAATTTTCAAGGCAGCAGGTGGATTTTCATTTTCAATTTAAACCACCTTCACTAAGTTTTACAGTGTTGCTGAATGAGCTTGTCTTCTTTCCTCTGTCCACCAGGTGTCACTGTCGTACAGCTTCTAATGGACTCCACATTTCTGGAGTTCAGGTAGTTATTGTTGGTTTATCAAACAAAAACATTATTACTCCTTTTTAGTATAATAAGTGCTCATCATCAACCTGCTTTAATGTCAGAATACAACATCTCTACTTCTTATTAACTAAATTTACCAAATATTTGATGCATTAAAACTAAAGTACTAAAATGCTGTTAGAGGAAGACACTGAACAGTACATGTAGGGAGAGCATAGCTTCCTTTTTGTTGGTGTTAAGACGTGAAGCAACTCGTCAGTTCAGACATTTACAGCTTTGGGCATCAAACTGTGAGTACTAAAATTTGTTCTTAGCCTATCTTTATGCAAGATCTAATTTTGGTTTTCATTTGGCATACCAAAAGCTGTTTGGGTATATGTATGGCAGGCTAGGCTTTTAGGGACCGATGGCTTTATTTCAGCAGTTTCCACAACAATAAACCAGTCAACTGGAAAAAACAGTCAACACCCATGAAACATTGACTGAACCTCTCAGGCGAAATGTGAAAGGTCACTTAACTGAACCTGTTTAGTCCCAGTTTATTTCCTGCAAAATAAGTGAATGCATGTCAATCCCTGGACCTCCTTAATGCATAATATTTATGCGTTATTACATTAATAATGCATAAATTACATTACATTTGATGCTGGTTATGTGATAATTGTTGCTATGCTTACATTTACTCTTTTTTGATACATGCAGGGATGAAATTCTCATTATGCATCAGTAGAAGACTCTTTAAAGAATAAATATACAAGATATTTTAGTTTTATTTGTTTATTAAAGTGTTTTACTGACTTCCTCTTATGCAGATATTCACTCCCGGTGTAAAGGTACGAAGTGAAAAGGTTATGTGACTATTAACACTACCTACATTAAATTGATATTGCTTAGAGTATACAACCTATTATTTTGTTTTATAACTTCAATCATCAGCCAAAAGCCAAAAATAAATAAATAAAAAAAATAAATAAAAAACACTTTTAGACCTTCAAGAAGTTAGAAAAATATCTGACACCAATTGTTGCTTATGGGATTAAATGGGTGATCCTAACCAAAGTGTTATTCTTCCACTGCATTTTTCTTTTGCAGGTGATGATCTTCAGATAAACATGGCCTCTATAAATACTTTATCTTTATACTTTATTCTTAATCTTTTCATTCTGCTGCTTCCTGTTAACCCTTTGCTGGCGTTTTCATTAAAAAACTGTACTATACTTTACAAGGAGAACATCTCTGCTGATGTTTCTGTGGACTGTAGAAGCATGAACTTTGTGACTGTCCCTGATTACATCCCTAAAAATACTTCGTCAATACAACTTGGAGACAATCAGCTCCTAAGTATTAACAGAAAAGACTTTCACGGCATGTCAAAGCTGGTAAATCTGAATTTAACAGTGAATAAAATTGCTTACGTTGAACAAGGGTCATTTATCGACTTGGTTTTATTGGAGACACTTGATATGGGAAATAACAAACTTACCAGTCTGACAGCCAACATGTTTGAAGGCCTGTCCAACCTCACAGTTCTGGTCCTCAGCAGAAACAAGATCCAGCATATTCATGAATCTGCCTTCCAGTGTTTGACCAGCTTACAAACTCTTGATATCGCCTTTATTCCACTTCAGAAAGTTGCAGAAATTCTACCAGTCTTCCATCTCCCGCAATTACTTACACTTAACTTAAAATACATCAACTTCACTACTTTTGACACCAAAGATCTCCCTTTGAATCTCTCCTTGAGTCTTAAAGTGTTGGAAATTTCTAATTCTAATTTGAAAATCTTGAGCATCATAGGGAAAATTTCCCCTTACCTCCAGACAGTAGACGTTTTACTCACAGATAGTGTAAAATGGGTGTTATTTGACAAAAGCTTACTGAAGAACATAACAAGCTTGGATGTTGCCGTAGCATCAGATTTTTTTGACGTAATCCATAAAGTTCTGGAAAGTCTTGAAAGACTGAGAGATATAAAGTTTGAATGTGTGGATAACTGGATTGAAAAGGGTCTGCTACCTGCAGTCTGCAAAATACAAACACTCAGGAAGCTTACTATTTCCCAAAGCCATTTTCACAATTTTACTACTGACCTTGTATCATGCGCCCAGCTCAGAGAACTTAACCTGGAAGATACTTTCATGGATAAACTGTCAAAAGGTTCAATGCAATCAATGATGCAGCTGCGATTCTTAAACCTGGGTTACAACTTCCTCACCGAAGTTCCAGGTGACATAAGGAGCCTCTCGACTCTTGAGATCCTGATTATGAGTGCAAATGACATGTATGGGTTGAAATGCGATGATTTTTCCAACACCACGGGTCTGAAAGAACTTTACTTGAACATAAACCACATAACCAAACTGGAGAGGTGTATTACTGAAAACCTCGTCAATCTAAAGGTTTTGGATATGAGTAACAATAAGTTGAAAGAATTCGGAGATTCTTTCAAAATCTCCCTGCAGAAACTTGAGGCCTTAGATATCAGCCACAACCCCATAAGGTATCTGGAGACAGATGTTTTTCAATATTTAAAGTCTCTCAAAGAACTGAAGGTGGAAACCTATCATTTTGTAGACGTACCTTATTTCAGTGGCTTAGAGAACATTCAAAATGTAACAATCTACTTACATACAGACAGGACTTTCCAAAGTCTTCAGTCAAACAATGATAAACCCTTTAGTGATGTTAACACAATGAAGCAGCTAACTCTAATCGGAAGCAGCAATACCCAATGGGTGCCCTTTAATACAATTAGGGAAATGCTCAGAGCTTATGGAGATTTGGGAACCGTTACGGTTTTGAATATCTATATAAATTACTATGAAGTGGAAACATTTGAGCTGAACCTCCAGCTAAAAAGTCTGACGTTATCATCGACAGATTTGTCATACTTAAGCTCTAAATTCTTCCTACCACTGCCAAACCTGCAGCACCTGGATCTCTCCATGTCTAAACTCAGGTCTTTGGATTTTCTGGTCCAGGCCAACCTTTCTGCTCTCAGATATCTGAACCTAACTGACAATGAGATCAGTGTTATTAACGAGACAGTCTTCCAGTCTCTACCCTCTCTGAGGTTCTTGGCTCTAGACAACAACCCGTTCTCATGCGAGTGCTCAAACGCAGGCTTCATCCATTGGGTAGTGACCAACCCCCAAACCCAGGTGGTAAACGCTCATCAGTATAAATGTTTCTTTCCTGTGGACAAACAAGAAGCCTTGTTACTAGAATTTGATGTTCAGTCATGTCGAGACGATGGCAGCTTTCTTTACTTCATTTCCAGCTCTTGTCTGGTTGCTCTGACTCTCCTCTCATCCTTCGTTTACCACTTCCTGAGGTGGCATCTCACCTACACCTTCCACCTCTTCTGGGCCTTTCTCTACGACAGCAGGAAGGGGAGAAAGAAAGACCCTCATCGGTTTGATGCCTTTGTGTCCTATAATGTCCGCGATGAGGGCTGGGTTTACAGAGAGATGCTTCCAGTATTGGAGGGAGAGCAGGGATGGAGACTCTGCCTGCACCACAGAGACTTCCAACCAGGTAAACTCTGGGTTGACCCTTTGCACGTGACGTCACGCTCTCCATAACTCCGCCCCTCCACCATGACAGACGTCAAAACAACCAATGCGGTCCTGTAAAGCTGGTCTAAAGACAGACATCTGTAACCTAATATCGCTTCTATTTAGTTGATTTCATATTAAAAATGGTCACAGGATGCTGCGCCATCAGCTGGTAGGGATAGAAACCAAACTTGTCATTTTATTGTTTAACCATTAATGAGGAAAGAAGCGGCAACGATGGAAAGTAGCCGTTAACAGTGACTGTCAGCCCTCCATGTTACTGCGGATTGCAGAGAACACTTTTTACAAGGTAAGAAGATTAACGTTCATCTACCTTATGTGTAGATGAAAGATATCAAATACCACCTTATGGAGAAGGTATGTGTCAAACCGTTGGTAACCATGGAGATAACGCCGCACCGTCATGTAGCCTAGCATGTCTGGAAAAACTGGTTAGCATCTCGTCTTTTGTCCGTTTTAAAGGCTCCTCCGGTGTGAGGAGAAACGCTCCTTATGACATAGTGATATAAATAATGTGGTGTGAATTCAGGCAAAGTCTGTAATTTGATCAACACCTCAGGAGGGAGGAGGTATGGGCTCTAAGCTAGCTATTTCCAACTTTTGTCAGTATCGCCATCTTTGAGCTCCAACCAGGAGCGTTATGTTCACAGACAAATTAGTTTGTCTGTGTTTGTCACTGAAAAACAACTTATGAAAACAATTTCAGTTGCTCTGTTCAATTCTCCCATCCCTCACTTCAGACATCCATCATGGCGCCTCCAGTGGCCCCCAGTGGCGTTTGTCGAGTATCACTGACTTTCAGGTCGGTTGAATACAACCTGATACAGACTCCGATCACAAGTGAAAAGATCAGATACATATCGGATATCAGGCCTGGGTCGCATGCGTAAAAAATCCGATCTGTTCAGACTGTCATGAAAAGATCAGATACAGGTCGCCTTAAGGCAAAACAGTCAGAACTGGGTCACTTCAGGCTGCAGTGTGAACGCAGCATTAAGTGACAGATATCTTTTATAAAAGTTACATACTGCAGCTTTAAACACAACCATTTTCTCATTTACGTTTTGTTATTCTTTTCATTTCCTACCATGAAAAACTCCAATCAAATAACAACTAATGCGTCTGACAGGTAAACCCATCATAGAGAACATCACTGATGCCATCTACGGCAGCAGGAAAACCATCTGTGTGATCAGCCGCAGCTACCTGCAGAGCGAATGGTGCTCCAGAGAGATCCAGATGGCCAGGTGGGGGCGCTGTCTTTCTGAATAATTAAAGTATAACAATTCTGTCTTCAAGAAAAGATTATAGAATTTTTGAGAGAGCAACATGAGAGAACAACGTGCAAAAAAATTGTTACGTTTTATGCAGTTATTTATGGATTATGCCAAATTGTAAATGTCTGCAACGGACAGGTACAGACAAAAATATGCGGTGCACCATTTCATGATTTTGATTATCACATTTCTACAGCTGCGGTTCACTGGTGACACCTACAGGATGTAATGGAAAACCTGAGATGTGTTTTTTGGGAGAACTTTCAGCCAAATTATTATCATTTTAGCTTGAATTTAAATTTATCTTTCTGTTTCCACTACTGCCACCTGCTAACACAACATAGGTATTACAGTACTATTTATTATTATTGGGCCAGATGAAATAATAGTCTGAGCAAAGTAGCAGTGTTCCTAGTCAGACAAGATGAATAAAATGTAATACTATTCGAATCAAATCTAATTTTATTTTTATAGCACAGTTCAGCAACAGTTCAAAGTTCTTTACATCATAAAAACACAACAATCAACAATTTTGTTGATTACATTTTTACAGTACATTTTCCCAAATACTGTCCAACATCAAAATGTTGGTTAGTGTTTCATTCATAATGTTTCAAAATCAAGTCTACAGTCGACTTTTTAGTCTAGACTTAAAGGCACTCAGTGTTTCGGCTGTTTTACCATTTTATGGAAGTTTGTCCAAGAAGAGCTGGGAAGTCTGGAAGGTTGATTATTATGTTTTTCTTTTTTGTTTTGCAGCTTTCGCCTGTTTGATGAGAAGAAAGATGTTCTGATTCTGTTGTTTCTGGAGGAGATCCCCTCCTACCATCTGGCTCCATATCACCGCATGAGGAAGCTGGTGAAGAAGCGCACCTACCTGAGCTGGCCCCAGGCTGCACAACATCCGGGAGTTTTCTGGCAGAACGTCCAGAGAGCTCTGCAGGCAGGGGGCGCTCTCACTGAAAACACGGACCCGCTGACCGGACCAGCTGGAATTTGAGAAATGAACAATGGCTGTTAATGTAACTTAAATATTGAGAATAAAAGTACAAATCAAATTGTACAATCACAATGCACATCATATCATAACATTTAAAAGCAAAAATGGAGAACAGCCGACATTATTTCTTCTTCGTACCACAAATAAGTCAGATCAGAGCATGAATTAATGTACAGATTGGCTGTAAACAGTGGGTCGAGCATTTTTTTTTATGTTTATGGCATCAGTTTTTCCTTTTTCCAGGGTGGATCAGTCATTTTTTGCTATTGCTAACCTAATTTTTTACATCAGGTTTGTGGTGTATCTTTATTTCTTCTAATATATTGTGACCATTGCTCCTCGCAGGGAAAGAATGAATGGCTTACATCACATGTGCCAAACTCAAGGCCCGGGGGCCAAATCCGGTTCGCCATAGCTTTTTGTGCAGCCCTTTAGACTCTTAATCGACACATAATTGGAACCATCAAGATAACAGTGTGCTTAAATATGATTTTATCAATTAATATAACAGTTTTTCTTTGTTTACTGCCAAATTGCAACAATTAGTTCCTCCAATTTCTTGTGAGTTATCATGAAAATCAACGTAAAATAAACAAATTCCTGCATTTTTTCCACGTTAATGCAGAATTGTGAGTTTATTGCAAATTTTCCGGAAAGTTAGTGAAAAACATTGGATCTAAGTGACGGCTTACTCCCACCTAGAGGTGGCACTGTTTCTTACTTCCACTGAAGAGTTGCCTCACTTGATGCTATGATGCATAATTATACAGCAAGTAATGTTATCATCATACATAGAAGCGCAAATATTTCTAAACTATTACCACAAACATTTTCTACTGCAAAATAAATCACAAAACTCATGAAATCCTTGAGGGATTGAAAAGATGTTCAAGTTTCATCAATGCATTCTGGCACAACCGGCCCTTTAAGAGCATTCATGATCTGTCTTGAAAATTAGTTTGACTCCCCTGGTTCACATAATTATTACTTTAAGCTTCTGTTGACAGTTTTAATGCTTTTGCATTAACTATTTTTATATTTTTGGCTTGCATTTAGTACAATTTTCCATTAATTTTCTAATAGTAAACAGCAATAAATAAAAAAAGCAATGAAAAGATTAGTGGTCTTTGCAATGTAAAGTTTTTCAAGAAGTTGTTGCTAAAAATGATGCTGCAGGCAGAACTTAAATTTGTACTTTTGTTTTACTCAGTTCCTTAAATAAAAGGAGGAAGAATGAATCTGTAAATAAAACTGGTGTGTGGTGTTTGTTGCCAAGTATTCATCCTTCTTTTAGTCTGAAATAAAAGGAAATAAATGAGAAAAATGAAAAAGAAACAACTTTGAAAATGAAAGGATTGGAAAATTTGTACTGCATTATCAAAGGATCGTTTCAGAAATTTAATTACGGTGAATTCCTGGGAGGTATCAGATGTGACATTTTCTCTCTTCTAAATTTTCTAGTCAACTATTCAGTGGTTTTAGTTGCATTTCCATTACAAATGTGCGCAAAACTTTGACAATATTCTGCTAACGTCAAAAAAATATGTCAAATAAATATAAAAAAATTCCCAGTTAGAAGCAGAAAATTACATTTATTTCAAGCTGCACTTAGCCGCCTGTCATGTTGCAGCAGTTGAATCCAAATGCAGAAGAGGCTGAAGGTAGTAGTTAGCTATTTTAACGAAAAAGATAATAAACTTACAAAGAGAGGGATGGCACAGTGATGCAAGTAGAAGCAAACGCCAACAGGGGAGATGGGAAAACATAAATCTAACCATAAAAAAGGATAACTAAACACTAGAAATAAATAATAAATATCTAACTAAAACAACAGACTGAAAAATATCAAATGATCAAAGGGTTTTTAAGAACGCAGAAAATCATAAAAACACCCCAGAACCTGACAATGCCACTGTGTTAATAACATCTCTATACTATATCCTATATTTGGTTTTACTCTAACTTTGTTTAAACATCATCCAAACATTCACACTGACAACTAAACATGGATTTATAGATTCATCCACAGTGAGTTGGTCTTCATTTGGGGGTTTCAGCGAAGGAAAAGAAGTTAAACAGAGCGAGCATACGATAAGACTTGTGGCTTCCTGTTTTTTTATTTAAAGAACCAAGACATGACACAAAACTCAAAAAGAAAAACCTGCCGTGCCACTTCAGAATAATGCAACGCAGACATCAACTGTGAGTACCAGAAACGAAACAGATACTCTTCTTTTCATTATCAACAATAACAATCGCTATTTAGACTAAATTTAAATTCAAATTAAAGTTATTTTACATGAGATTGTTCTTCTTGAGAGTATAGCTGGAAACGACCTTAAATAAAAACAAACAACAGCAAAAAAAACTAAATAGTTACATTTTGAACAATTTTCAGCAACAGAAATAGTGAAAAAGATCCATTTGAGAGTTGAAAGAGGTTTTTTGTGGATGCCAGCCAACCAACCATTTATCTCTTGTTCAAAGTAAACATGACGAGTCTGACTTTTCCTTTAGTACTCAGCATTTCTCTGCACTACTTTGTATATTCTGTAAGTTTATATTGGCCAACACTATTTTCATAAATACAGACATTCTGGTGCTCTTGATGTCTTCTGATTTGTTCGTGTAACTGTGGTCACTTTTATGGTTTGAATGATTTTTATGATGCTAATAATGCATCTAACTTTTTCAGTAGTTCTGTTTTTGAAATTATGTGTAGATTTTTAACAATTTAGTTTCTATTTTATGAGTTTTATTCACTTTTTAAAAATAAATTTGATGTTTTGTGCTAATAATGAGCCATGTAAATCTGGACTAACTAGTTTTAAACTTCTACATCCTGTTTTGTAATATAATAGTTGCTGGTTACATCAGATTAAGTTACACCGAAAAACTAGGCACATTTACTTGGACAAATTTTATTTGGGAAAAAATACTTTTAGGAGTATTTTTACTACACTATACTTCTTATTTTCACTTGAGCAACTTTATTATAAAGCATTGATTCTGTTACTCGAGTAAAATTTCTGGATTCTCTATCCACTTGTTTTAACCAAACGAGTAAATTTAACGGGCTGCACAGTGGTGCAGTTGGTAGAGCTGTTGCCTTGCAGCAAGAAGGTTCTGGGTTTGATTCCCAGCCCCGGTCTTTCTGCATGGAGTTTGCATGTTCTCCCTGTGCATGTGTGGGTTTTCTCCAGGTACTCCAGTTTCCTCCCACAGTCCAAAAACATGTCAGGTTAATTGGCCTCTCCAAATTGCCCCTAGGTGTGAGTGTGTATGCATGGTTGTGTGTCTCTGTGTTGCCCTGGAATAGACTGGCGACCTGTCCAGGGTGAACCCAGCCTCTCGCCCAGAACGTTGGCTGGAGAGGCAGCAGCACCTCCTGACCCCACTGAGGGACAAGGGTGTAGAAGAAACACGCCTGCAGATTTTGTTAAAGTTTACAAAGTTTTTATCAACAAAAACTGATTTAGAATTGGGTATTTTTTGCCTGATATTGTTATTTTTTGTTACCAATATGAATTATTGTCTTTTTCATCTTGAAATACCAAAATTATTTTGGTCCGGATGATGGGGTAATGATTGATATTTTTTACTTAGACATATTTAATATGTTGAAGTAGTGCTACTCTACCCATCTCTGATCTTACATTTGTGTGACTTTTGCATGCAGGTAATTATTCTTGAATGACATTGTCAGCCACCTCAAACTGAAGAAATGGCCGCTGCTAGACCTCCGTCTTCATGCTTCGTTCTGCAGATTCTCCTTCTTGTTGTTAATTTCAATCTTTCACTTCCTTACGTACTGAAAAAATGCTCTGTACGTTACGAGGAGAATCCCTCCGCTGATATGGCTTTGGACTGTGCGAACAGGAAAATTGAAAATGTCCCCAAAGACATCCCTAAAGATGCTGTTTCACTGAACCTGAACAACAACTGGATGCAGAAAATTAATGGAGGAGATTTTTCTGGCATGTCAAAGTTGAGAATTCTGGATTTAACGTCAAATCAAATTGCTCAAGTGGATGAAGGGTCTTTTATCGATCTGATGTTTCTACAAACTCTCTGCATGGGAAATAACAAACTTAATGTCCTGATGAGCAACATGTTTCAGGGTCTGTCTAACCTTACTGTGCTTTTTCTCAACAACAATGGTATTCAGGTCATTCATGCAACAGCTTTCCAGTTCCTCACTAGCTTACAAACTCTAGATTTAGGAAACAACAGGCTTCGACAGATCACCGACATTCAGCCCATCCTACAGTTACCTCAAATCACGATGCTTGGACTTAAATGCAACAGCTTTACTTCCTTTGAGACCAAAGACCTGCTGCTGAATCAGTCGTCAAATCTCCAAGAGTTGGATATTTCTGGTGATTCCCTGACAATTTTCAGCATCTCTACACCTGTCTTTCCTTACCTCCAGAAAATAGAGATATCTATGTGTTTTTGTTACAAAGACCTGCAATGGGAAATCCCTGACAAACAGTTTCTGAGGAACATATCGTATTTATATCTCGGGAGGTCTATTCTTTCTTTCGAAGGGATCACAAAAGTCCTGGAGAGTCTTGACTCTTTACACCATCTAAGACTAGAAGCCCTGAAGATGCATGTTTACGAAGGACTGCTATTTACAATTTGTAAAATACCAACACTGAGGAAGCTGGATTTGTTTAACAGTCATATCAAGAATTTGCCTGTTAAACTTGCACTCTGTTCTCAACTCACAGCGCTTGACGTGAGAAAAAGTGATGTAGACGAACTGCCTCAAGGGTCACTGGGTCAATGAAGCATCTCCGATCGCTAAACGTTTGTGACAATCAGCTAAAGCAAGTTCCACATGATGCGAGAAGTCTCTGCTCCCTCGAGATCTTAAATCTGAATTACAATTACATATTAGAGTTGACCTGTGAGGACTTTGAGAACACAACACAACTGAGAGAGCTTTACCTGAAGAGAAATCGCATTAGCCAAGTGGATTACTGTGTTTTTCTAAATCTTGAAAGCCTAAAGCTTTTGGATCTGAGTTTTAATCAACTGATTACATTTGAAAACAACATTTTTTTGCCACAGCTTGAAATTTTAAACATAAATCACAATGAAATAGCTTTCCTAGAAATACTTGATTTTCTTGGTTTCCAATCCCTGAAACAGTTGGATCTAGGAACAACTTTCTTTGATGGGATGACACAAAGATCATTTCATAAAGTCAATAAACAGGAGAATAATATTTCATCTCGTGACAGAATATGGGAATTAAAGCTCTTGGAAAATTTAACAATAGAACTGAACCCTCGAAACCTTTTCAGCAGTCTTCAAACAAACTATTCTCGAGATATTGTGGTCTTTAAATCAATGAAAAGATACACAGCAATCTGCAACTTTTTTTGCTTTCCACATCAATTAGCAGATATACACAGGTCTATGACATATTTGGAGAATTTTACAGTTGTCAACGTCTTTACTGAAGCTCCTTCTATAGACATGTTTTGGTTCAATCCCGATCTCAAGAGTGTGACATTCATAGAGACTGATTTTTCAGAAGCGGGTCCAGAACTCTTCCTTCCAATCCCAAACCTGCACAGTCTTGAGCTTTCCAAATGCAACATCAGCTCTTTGGATTTTCTGGTGAAGGCCAACCTTACAGCACTCAGATTCCTGAAACTGACTGACAATGAACTTTCTGTGATTAATGACACTGTGTTCAAGTCTTTCCCATCTCTAACGTACTTGGACCTGGACAACAACCCATTCACCTGTAACTGCTCAAACGCACGCTTTATCCAATGGGTGAAGAACAATAAGCAGACACAGGTGGTAAACGCTCATCAATATAAATGTTCCTCATCTGTGGATAAAGGAGAAAGTTTGTTACTAGAATATGACGTTCATTTGTGCTGGGACGATGGCAGATTTTTCTACTTCATTTCCAGCACTTGTCTGGTTGTTCTGACTCTTCTCACATCGTTCATCTATAACTTCCTATGGTGGCATCTCACCTACACCTTCCACCTCTTCCTGGCCTATTTCTATGACAGTCAGAGAAGGAAAAAGGAAGTTCTTCATCGGTTTGACGCCTTTGTGTCCTATAACGTCCACGATGAGGGCTGGGTTTACAGAGAAATGCTCCCAGTGTTGGAGGGACAGCAGGGCTGGAGACTCTGTCTGCACCATAGAGACTTCCAACCAGGTAAATAAAGACTTTTCACTTATTGCCAAGACGATACTGTTGAATAACTGATGTGGTGGATTGAGAAATTTCGGTGAAATTTTTTTTTACATAATTTTCTTTAATCTGGAAATTTTATGAAAAATTCACATTTTTCTACTCCCATTTGGGTCTCTACTGCTTTTAAAAACCTCCCAGCTTGGTTTCAGCTGTAAGTTAAATTTTTTTAGTGTGTGGAAAATTACCCGTTTCACCTAGTGACCCCAGAGAAGTCCACCCCGTTACCTAGCAACCCCAGGAAGGCCCAGCCCGTCTCCTAGCAACGCAATCTGAGTTCCGACCAGGCACTGTACCATATCTCCCATAAAAGACAAGTGAAATGTTTTGTTTTCCTGACTCACCATTCAGAAAGCATTTGATGTATTCTTGTTTTTTTGTGCAGAAGACTTTCAAAAATGTACTGTTGTATAACTACACATATGTTTGCAGCCATTTTCAAATTATGGCTTTAAGATCCAAAGCTGCTACCAGGTGGTCGCACCTTTACTAGTAAACTTAAGCCAACAAATGAAGGAAAGTTTTGCATTAGAAAATTTTTTGTTTCAATTTAATAGCGCCCTTTAGGAAATAAAATTATTTTTTTCTTTTTCATCTAAGTTAAAGTTTTTGGTGGTTGTTGTTTTATTTTCCTTGCAAAGCACAAATAATAATAATAAAAAAAAACAATATTAAGTATAAATATTTCAACAGGAAATTATGTTATATGCCAGTAAAGTCATAAATTCATTACATTATCAGAGGAGGGTCCTAATGACAATAACATCAGAAAGCAATCGATTTATTGTTTTTACCTGTCAATTTGTGTCTTGTTTTATAGTTTGTTTTGTTGAATTAGAAAATAAGTTTAACAATTCTCTTTTGTTTGCTAATATTCCGTTTGTTTCTTTTTTTTTAAAATCAGAAATGACAAAACATACACTTAATGCACTACATGTGTGTCCACAGGTAAACCCATCATAGAGAACATCACCGATGCCATCTACGGCAGCAGGAAGACCATCTGTGTGATCAGCCGCAGCTACCTGCAGAGCGAATGGTGCTCCAGAGAGATCCAGATGGCCAGGTGGGGGCGCTGTCTCTTTTTATAAACAACAAGAATATAACTCTATGGCAGTGTTTTTCAACCACTGTTCCGAGGCACACTAGTGTGCCGTGAGTGATCGTCAGGTGTGCCGTGGAAATTATCCAATTTCACCTATGGTACCGTATTTTCCGGACTATAAGCTGCTACTTTTTTCCTAAACTTTGAACCATGCGGATTGTAGCATTTAAAAATGAAAAAATTTGTTTGTGATTTTCCCTCTTTAGTTTCACCTGCTCAATAATAAGCAACATTTTAATAAAATATATAAATCCTTAAAGATCCAAAACATTAAAACGGCTTCGGACTGCTGCCTTTATTAAAAGAAAAACACAATTTCAAAATATGAGGAGTCCTCAGTTGATTTCAGGTTTGTTGGCCAAATTTTTACAGTTCTCAGGGGGCTGATCAAAACCATTTCAAGGGCCACAAATGGCCCCTAGACCACACTTTGGAAACCCCTGCTTTAAATGGTTTCATCTCTTAATTGTGGCAATTAGGGTTTACAGCTCATGAAAATCAAACATATATATACATAGATATTGAGATTTATGGAAGTGCAGTCTCTGATCAACGACTGGAGTGGAATAAATCCTTTGTAATTTTTATTTTTTCTTATAGCCCCTCTTTTTTTTTTTTTTTTTTTTTGCAAAACTCTGTCTTAACAAAAACTTATCAAATTTGTAATAATTTTTGCACTAGTTTTTCATCAAATTAGCAATAATTCATAACCAGACATTGTCACTTAATCCCCAAACCACTCTTGTTCACATTTAGGCAATAATATTGCCCTTCAAGATTAAAAGTGCACTAATTACACTGAATGGATTAAAGCTATAACTAATCACTATTCACAAATATTGACAAATGATATCTCTCTTTCACCTGACTTCTTTTAGCTTTCGCCTGTTTGATGAGAAGAAGGATGTTTTGGTCCTGCTGTTTTTAGAAAACATTCCTGCTCGTCATCTGTCTCCATATTACCGCATGAGGAAGCTGGTGAAGAAGCGCACCTACCTGAGCTGGCCCCAGGTTGCACAACATCCAGAGGTTTTCTGGCAGAACGTCCAGAGAGCTCTGCAGACAGGGGGCGCTCTCACTGAAAACACGGACCTCTGACCGGACCAGCAGGATGCTGAGAAAATGTAAAGAGCTGTAAAATCACGGTTAAGATTAACCATAGATTAACTTTATTCCAGGGTGTTAAAGGGTTAGTTCAATGTAAGATAATTTTTTTGTGCTTCACATCATTTTATGTTTTCAAAAACATACTTGGAGTTTTGTCTCCAGGTATGCATGAGTAAGAAATCCTTTAATCTCCATGGCAACCATTCAGCTCTGCAAAATGCCTGGGTGGACCTAGCTCCGCCCGCAAGGCAAAGCTCCTCCTTGGAGCTTCTCGAGACTCTCCAACTCAGCTCCTTCAGACTTCTTTTTTTTTATTCACCAATTATTGCACACAGAACAAACATTGGTGTGTGCAAAATAACCGGATAAGAGAACGAATAATAGCAATAAAAATAAACGAAACAAAAAGGACGTATGCATTAAGATGGATACAGCCTACGACAACCTACGACACTGTCCTTCAAACATTTGTACAACTGCCATAGCATTACATAGTTAAGAAAGAGCTTGTGAGACAAAGTTGTTAGATATGTAAATCAATGTAAGAATATACAATCTTTGTTTTTCTTCATGTGTGATTATGAAGCATAACTTTGCATTGCCATCATGAAAAACCTCCAGGCGCTGTCTTCCAATGTGCAACAAGTTAACCTTTGCTCATTAAACAGCATAGTTCACGGTTTTTTTCAGATCTTTTGCAAAGAATAGCTGAGTGTTTCTGTCAAAGGAACTGAAAGCTGTTACTTGCCCCCTCTTTTTTGACTGAGTTTCTTGCAGACATAATTAGACTACGATGCATTTCTGTGCAAACTGGAAGTCACACATCTCATCAGCTTTCTGCAATGTTCCTCTTTCTGATTGTGAGGAGGATTTCTACTGAAGTTAAACGCATTAAATTTAAGAGCGAAAAGGAGGTCGGACTCAACCTGACAGCAGACCTGGAAAAAAATGGCAGTTTTTTCTCATGCAAACACTGTAGATCTTTGAAACTTTAGAGTACTATTATGTTGACATGTGGAATAACAACATACAAGCAAAATTTACAACAGTTTTTTTTTAATTTTCTGTGCCATCTGTTCAGCTCTGTCTAGTGTTTTTTTATTTCAATGTCTTGTT